TAAAAATTTTTACCGTCTGTTGGCTCTTCGCCTGTGTCATTATTTGCAGGTGTATGCTCAGATGTTGCTAAAAGAAAATTATTTTTTTGAAATAAAATATGAGTAATATTGTTCAAAATAATTATTACACAATGACATACTATTCTCGCAAGTTTGACTTTGACATGCAACATTTAATAATGTTGTTGCAAAAGTAATATCTGTAAGTAAATTATCATAATATTAGATAACAAGAAAATAGAAAAAAGATAATGCAAATAGAATAAATTATTTAGTTTTATAGAAAAATAAATAAGAAATTTAAACTTTGAAAGAAAGGAATTTATAACTTACCGGTGCTCTGAGAGCATCCCCTTGAGACAATTTTATTTTATAAATTTTTTGAGTTTCAGCGTCCGAAAGATTTATTTCGATAAAATCCATTTTGCTTAGGTTAATAAGGATGACACATGTCTGACGTGTCACAGCACTATCGACAGAATTCAGAGCTGACAGCGCTTACGCTACCATTACATCACCTCTGAAGAAATAGCATTTGTAGCATGAAGTTATGACGTATCTATGACGTATCACATGTGTATTAATGACATCACCATGCATTTGGTAGCGTAGTCAAGTAGCTCCCCGAACAGCTACAGCGCTAGATAGCCCAAATAGCGTGCTCCCCGAACGCACCCATAATAGTTTATTTATTTTTGTTACCTAGCAACATTTCGTAAAAGTATTTATATATTAAATAGATGTAAGATAAAATAACGAATAAAATATCAAAATTATATTCAAGGTGAAAAAAAATTTGTATCCATTTAGTGCATACGACAAACAAATTTCTCAATAAATTTAAAATATGTAAATTCAAATATGTAAGTTATATTAAAAATAATCACATGTAGCATGATTCTTATACGTGTATATAAGAGTCTTCGAAATGAGAGATTGCATTTTTAGAAACATTTATTTGCTCTAATAAAATTATATGCGTGTCTCCGAGTCTTCGAAGTGAGAGATTACATCGCAGACACGCATATAATTTTATTAGAGCAAATAAATATCAAAAATTGAAAAATAAAGAAAAATTTTAGTCGTAAAAAGGTGAAGTTGAAAAGGTTTAGTTGAAAAAGGTATATTAAAAAAAATATTTAATATTACGTGATATGTTTTATAATACTTTATTAGAATATGAAGATATTCTTTTGTATCTACTGGTTTCTACGTACACTACTGCTGCTAATACGACTAACTAAATAATAGTTTAATTATTTTTGTTATTTAACAACATTTCGTTCATGTATTTATGTATCAAATAAATTTAAGTCAAAATAATATCGAATAAAATATCAAAATTATATACAAGGTGAAAACAAAATTTGTATCCCTTTAGCATATACGACAAACAAAATTCTCAATAAATTTAAAATATGTAAAGAAAAATATGTAAATTAAAATATGTAAGTTATATTAAAAAATAATCACATGTAGCATGATT